TATCAATTTTTTTTGGGGTAAAAGAGATTTTGGTGAACATAAATCTTACTCGGGCTAATTAAAAGTTGAAATACTCCGAGCACACCCGAAACACCTATACTCATCGACCCTTGTTTGCAAGCTATAATTGATGATAATGATGGAGGAGAGGACTTTGTTGATGAAGAAGGAGGAGACCAAAGTTTTTTTTTTTTTTGTTTTTTTTTTTTTATTCTTTCTTCTATTTGGCGAGAAGATGATCAGCGAGAGATGATAGAGGAAAATATTTAGGATAAGAAAAAGGTGTAATCAGATTAGAGTTATAGGAAGATTAGAATTATAGGTATAAAATGGGGTTAGGGTTGTGTAACAGAAAGAAACATATTAAATGAGATTAGGATGATTATGAGAAGGATTAGATTACATATTTATTATATATAGCAAAATAGTGTGTACTAACATATTTATATATATGTATATCCGTAACACATTAACATATATATTATATGTTTGCATAAATAATATATATTTATTTATAAGCATAAGTATATATCATAGAAAAATATATTCATTAAATAATTTCAAAAATATTTTTGGGTATATAATATATAATAAAATAATTTAATAGCAGGTTAACATAATTTTGGATCATTCAAAATAATTTTGGAGGGTATTAATATCAACATAATATTATAAAAAAATAACGGGGTATTGCACTATAAAATAAAAGATGGAGCGGATTGGAATTCCCATTCCTTTGTGCGTGTGAAGTGAATCAACCAAGAGTGCGGCTAGTGCTAAACGAGTCATGTGAGATGACTTCCAATGCCGTTCACCTCTCTTTTACTAGGTCTTTCATTGATGTGGAACCACCATTCCGTGACCACGTTCCTTATGAACATTTCAACAAACACTTTGTCTACATCTCATTCCCATCTCCGTCCTCTCGGATCTTAGAGAAGGAAAATGCAAGGAAGACAAGTCTGGGATTAGGCCACAATCTTTTGTAGACCTAATCCTACTCAAACCTCAAGCATATGTTGTACACCATACACATGAGTCAATACAAAGTCTCCTTACAACAAGAGATCAATACATAGCCTCATAAACTATATCCAGGGACGGAGCCAGAAATTCGACTGAGGGGGGGGGGGGGGGGGGGGGGGGGGGGAAGAAGTAGGACAGATTTAGAAATTTTTTCTAGTAATAGCGAAACTTTAAATACAAAAGAGATGATTTAAAAATAAATAAATAAATTACCTAAGAATTTTTATTTTTATTTTTATAACCATTACCTAAGAAATATAGTTGTAAATATTATTGGATATGTGCGAAAAATAAAACACATCGAAACTTTATAAAGATGTTCATAACAAAATATGAAAAATAATTAATTTGAATAGAAAACACATTATAAATTACACATATTAAAAAAGTGACTGTGTTGAAGCCATAGGGGGGAAGAACTCAAAAATATATAAAACTATGTTAACGCAAGAATTTGAACCCAAAACCTTTCCCATTACCAACCACATGCCTTATCAACTAATCTAACTCCTTACTTGTTAATATTTACTAGTTTTTTTATACTAATACTAAAACATATACTATATATACATATATACATAAAAAATTATATATGGGGTGGGGGTGGGGGTGGGGGTGGCGTGAGGGGGGGGGCAGGTGCCCCCCGCCCCCCCTTTGGCTCCGTCCCTGACTATATCAATACATATTCTACACAAAGAAATAAAATCCAATCCACTACAAGAAATCTAGCTACTCATATTCATGCTCAATAATTTCAACATACACAAAATAGGCATCATCAACAATTTAAGCAACAAAAGATTAGATCTAAAGAGATTACCCACTTTGTAATGTCAAAATTACAAAACATTCAAGTGAAGATGAAGATCCACCAAGATATTCTTGGAAATCCCCCTCTTCTTCTTAGTAAATGAAGAGTATTTGAGAGCTAATTTCTAAAGAGAAGGTAGAGAGAATTCTAACATAATCTAACCTAAAACCTAGTGAGAGAAAGTTAAAAGATGAATAATTTTGACAGATGGATCAAATCTGAATTTTTCTCCCCTTTATCTCGCCAACCAGCCTGTTATTTCCGATTTACACGCGCGTCACGCGCGTGACGCGGGCGTAAATGGGTTACCCCATTTACTCTGCTGTTACTCGCGTGACGCCAGTGTGACTGGGTATCCTGACAAATTCTTCGCTGATTTTGACTGCCTAGATGTCTGAATTGGTATTTGTTGTCTTCATGAAAATTGTAGCTCTTAAAAATACCGAACAAATGCCAGTTGAATCACCTCATTTGGACATTCCTAACTCCAGATATGCTTAAATGAACAAAACATCGCCGAAATGTCCTAGAATTGCCAATATTTTTCTGTTTTCAACAAATGTAACCAAAATTAGTCCTTGTGCCTCACTTTAATCGAACTAAGCTATTCTAAGCACATAATAGGCCTAAAGTACTCTAATTATAGCAAAATATGACTCCCAAATTGTAACACCCCGTATTTTTCCTAACTATTTATATTAAATATAATATTTTCCAAATAGAACTATTTACTTATAATTAAATAGTTTGCTATATATATATATATATATATATATATATATATATATATATATATATATATATATATATATTCTATATGCCCAATAAATATTTCTTAGCCCAAACCATTTTACCCAAATCCCTTAATGTATTGATATGGTCTATGATGGACCATAGACCTTTGTCAACCTCTTACCTTTTCAGATTCGTATTAGGAATCCAAAACCTCTTGCCTTTTTAGATTCGTATTAGGAATCCTATAGCTATTTAAAAGGAATTGGAAGGCATTAGAACCCTTTTCACCCATCCCCCTCTCTCTCTCTCTCTCTCAAATCCCTCCCTAAAATATAGTCAAAGAATTCTCCATCACCAAGCTTAGGAAAGATCGTTTGGGAAAGGACCTTGAAGAAGGATCTTAGGAGTTGTGAGGAGTTTAATTAAGCTAAAATGTAACCTATGTCTTACAAAACCTATTTTCCTTGCTATGTTATGATTTATTGGAATCCTTGAATGATGGAATGTGTTATCTTGTGATTATGACTTGATAGAGCTTGTATTTAGGGTTTATATTGTGATCTCTTGATATTTTTGATGCTCTTGATAATCTTGAGTGATTGTGGGCATAGTCTTGTGTTTATGAATGTTTAGAGCTTGTGTTTAGAGTTGTAATTGAAATTGGGCAAAATTGGTTAATCCCCGAAGTGGGAAAACTCCCAGTGGAGGTTGTTCCAGCGGGTGGTCAGGTGGGGGTTCCCGCTGGACGGGCGGTATGTTACCAGCGGGTGGACGACCACCCGCCGCACCACCCGCTGGAATGGGTGATTCACTCTGTGAGCTTGCAGATTATAGCAATCAAGTTTTTGGCGCCATTGCCGGGGAACACTTTGTTAAACTATTTTCTTTAAGTTTTTCTTTTTTTGAATTTATTTTTGGGGTTACGTTCATTATCATTTGAATTTTATTTGTTTGCTATTTTTTTTTTGTTTATGAAATTAAGGCATTCACTAAGGCATAAAAACGCTGAATTATTTCCTGTTGATCTTGAAATTGAACTCACTTGCAGGAAAAATAGGGTACGAAGGCGGCTTGAAATGACTGAAAACAATAGAGTGGGTCAACAGGATGACCCCGTACCACCAATAGTTCCACATCCTCACAATCCAGCAGCTCAACCACGTCTTCGAGACATCCAAAGACTGGTAATAGCTGTTAATCCCTCTTGCATTCAATTATCTGATGCAGCTAGGAATTATGAACTCAAGACTTTCCATCTGAATATGCTCCCTACCTTTAACAGTTTGGGAAGTGAAGATGCTTTGGGTTTTATGCGAGAACTCTATAGTACGGTACAAACTTTACCTTTGAATAATTTATCTGAGGAAGAACTTAGAATGAAATGTTTTCCATATTGCATGAGGGGTGATGCTAGGCAATGGTTGTTAAATTAACAGAGGGTTCTTTAAGGACTTGGGATGATGTTTACAATGCTTTCATGTTTAAATATTATTCATATCAAAAGACAATGGACTATAGGAGTAGGATATGCACTTTTACTCAAAGAGAGGGGGAGTTATTTCATGAAGCATGGGATTGTTTCAAATTGCTTTTGACCCAATGTCCACACCATCAATTCCTATTGTTATTGTTGACACAATTCTTTTATGATGGTTTAACTCCTAATTGTCAGTCTCTTGTAGATACTGCTGTAGGTGGATACACATGTGATAAAAATAGTGATGAATTAGAAGCTATCTATGAGAGCTTAGCTAGTAATTCTCGACAAAAGGCAATGAGAGGTCGAAGAGCTGCTGTGCATGAAATTAACACACAATCTGAGTTGACAACACAAGTGGCTGAATTAACTAAACAGATTAACTTGTTGATGACTCGTGATAGTTCAAATAGAGAATTTTGTGCTTATTGCAATACATATGGTCATAATTCTTCTGTTTGTATGAATGCAGAGTCATCACAACCATCGTATGAAGATGCCAATTACATGGGATCCAACATGGGTAGGCAACCACCGAGAAATGATCCATTTTTCCACACATATAATCCAGGTTGGCGAAATCACCCTAACTCCTCATGGAGAGATCAAGGTAATGAAAGACCAATGGGACCACCCGGATTCCAACAACAAAGACCATCAGGATTTCAGCATCAGCAATACAGACCCTTCAAGTAGCCACCTGCACCACAACAACCTCAACTTCCTGCTCAGGAAAAGAAGCCTCAACTGGAAGAGATGTTCATGCAATACATGTCTAGCCAGGACACTATGATGAAGAAGCTAGATGCAAAAATTGATAAGGTTGCTCAGTCCAGCCAAGCATCCATTCATAATTTAGAGGTGCAAGTAGGTCAATTGGCTAAATTAGTTGTAGAAAAAGATTGAGGTAAGTTTCCTAGTAACACTGAAACAAACCCTAGGGAAGGAGCTATGGCTGTCACTTTAAGAAGTGGTAAGAAGTTGAATGAAGTTTTGAAAGAAAAGGAACCCATGAGGGTTGAAAAAGAGATTGATAAAGAAGAAGAGAAAGGGCCTAAAGAGAGTTCTAGTGATCAAAACCTCACTTCCTCTACAGTAAAACCTTATGTACCCCCCCCCCCCCCCCCATTCCATATCCACAAAGGCTACACAAGAGGAGAACCAGGACAATAACTTCAAAAGATTTTTAGAGGTTTTTAAAAAATTGCATATTAACATTCCTTTTCCAGAAGCACTTGCCAATATGCCATCTTATGCCAAGTACATTAAGGAAATCGTGTCTACTAAAAAGAAATTGGAAGAGTTTGCTACCGTGCATCTAAATGAGGAGTGTAGTGCTATTCTACAAAGCAAATTACCTCCTAAACTAATGGATCTAGGAAGTTTTTTCTATTCTTTTCACTATTGGTAATACTGTTGTTGATAAATGCTTAAGTGATCTAGGTGCCAGTATTAACCTTATGCCTTTAACTCTTTTCAAGAAGTTGGAAATAGCTGAAATGAAGCCAACAACAATCTCTCTTCAACTTGCTGATAGATCAGTCAAGTACCCGCTTGGAGTAGTGGAGGATATCTTGGTAAAAGTTGGTAAATTTTATTTGGCTGCTGATTTTCTGATTCTTGATATGGATAGTGATACAGATACATCTCTTATACTTGGTAGACCATTTTTGTTAACAGGAAGAGTATTAATTGATATGCCTTTAGGGAAATTGATTTTTAGAGTATGAACAAAAAAAGAAGAATTTTCTATCTCTACAGTTGTAAAATTACCAACTTTTGATGAATCTTATCTTTTTGTTGATGTTATTGAGAAACCTTCAAAAGAAAGATTTGTTAAGCATTCATCTAGTAATCCGTTGGAAGCATGTCATGCATTTAGTACGAAAATAGAAAAGAAAGGACCAAAATTTGTTGAGTCTATGATGAGATTAGAGGGTCAAGGTCGTTTTCATACACAACTTAGTAGGAAGTATGAAGATTTAGATGGAAGCAACCCTTTTTCATCACCTTTTAATGAAACACTAACTCAACTTGAACTTAAACAACATCTATTGCAGTTCAAATATAATTTTTTGAGTGACAATGATACTTTTCTTATGCTTCCTTATGCTCATTTACTTCATGCAAAAGAAGAGAGACAATGGAGAACATTGACTAAAGCTTGGCATGACAAAAATAATTTTTGGAGAGAATTCAATGTAGGGCAAGAAATTTTGTTGTATAATTCTTTGTGATTTTGTGACTAACGATTTACCCATATTTTTCTTGTCAAACAGATGGTGCACAACTATAACACAGATAATCGAACAGATAGTTAATCAGATATATCACCAGACAAGAAAAAGTGCGGAAAAGGCAAACATTGTAACACCCGGTGTTACGGCCTTCAAACCCGGATTAATTATGGAATTAATCCTGTGGATAAATAATTAAAAGGGACTTAAATTGGTTAGGACCCCCCTAATTAATTAATGTGGTCCACGATGGACCGTGGACCCCTGTCCATATTAAAGACTATAGGCCCGATAGGAATAAGGAAAATAGACCTTCTGCTACCCAGACTCTGATTAGGATTCATGACCTTATAAATAGGGGATTAGAGAACAATTAGAACCCTCTCAGCTTTCATAACACCGAATACACGAATCGCCCAGGAAACCTAGCCAAAGGGTTTCCCCACCACCAAGCCTAGGGAGATCAATCGGAGGGAAGTCTTAGAAAAGAACCTTAATAGCCAAGGGGGGATTAATTAAGGCTAAGAGGTAACCCATGTCTTACAAAACCTATTTTCCTTGCTATATCGTGATTATTGGCTCCTTTGATAATTGTATGTATGATTCTGTGATTGAGTCTTGATAGGGCCTTGCCTAGGGTTTGTGTTGTGTTTATTTGATAATCTTGATGATCTTGATGTTGTGATTGATTATATGTGTGATCTTGCGTTTGGGCATGTCTAGAGCTTTTCATTAGGGTTTATTTGATGGAATCTTGGTGTTCTTGTGATTTTGTCGTTCTTGCATTAGTGGGAATTGATTCTTAAATCTTGATATGTTAGGAGCATGTATTTAGGATTTGTTTTTGCTGATTTCTTGGTTTAATTCTTGTGGTTCAAGTCCATGTCGTTATTGTTGTGTATTGGGATGTGTTTGGACTCGATTTTGGGTTTAACGAATGAATTCCTGAAAGGGGAAAAGGCCGAATTACCATCGTACCAGCGGGGGGTCGATGGGGGGACGAGCCCCCACCTGACCTCCCGCCAGTACATGTATATGTACCAGCGGGCAGCCGCCGGGTTGCTTACCACCCGTCGTGTACTTGCTGGTACATAAGCTGCCCCCGGCGGGTGGTGGACCACCCGCCGTACACCCGCTGGAACGAGGCGGCATGTTGCCATGTTTTTCCCCGTGCTCCGTTCGATGTTTGTGAGTCTCGTTCGATATTTTGGGTACCGTTTTAGGAGTTATGAGTCGTGTTTATTGCATGTGGGTTAAGTTAGTATCCCGTTAACCTAGGATGAGATTTGTATGACCCCGTGGATACCTTGTGGTTGTCTCGTTATCTTGGGAAGTAGAGTTTAGGCTGTATTGATAGGCGTATTTTATACTAATATTTTAGGTGCATCTTTATAATAATTTTGCATTAATTATTTAGTATTATTTAATAATTATTTCCTTTTGGAGTTTAATAATTAATGAGCAAAATAAATATTTTATCTAGTTAATTATGTGTTTTGAGCCTTAACAAGTTGTTAACCCAAATTCTTAATTTATTTTAATCTTAAGCCGTAACATCATGGCCCAAACTATGATAAAACAAATAAATTAAAACAATTGTGTTTTGCATTTTTTTGCCTCATGCGCAGCTCACGTTCAGACAAAGAAAACTTCAATTCGTCAATTACAAAGCAATTTCGACGAAGCGGAAGACAAAGCGTAAGGCACAAAAATAGAAAATGGATGGTTGAAATTCATTTGGCGTATTTATAGAATTCTATAAATAGTAGAAGTTATTGTAAAATGTTCATTCTTCCCTCCTCTATAGTATTCGTTGAAGTTGTTATCAATGTCCATTTGTGGCTAATTTCTAGTTGGTTTAGTGAATTGAAGCCCCGGAGTTCATAACGCTGTAAGGTTATTTATTTAACTTTATTATATATATGTTTTTATGCATTTTGAGTATTAAATATTCTTCTAAATTATTTGAATAGTTGTATCATTTAATTGCTAGGGAGGCCTACTAGTTATTAATTTGATATAATTATTTGCTATATTAGATAATGTTGTGCTACAAATTATTCAAATATTCAGTAGCAACTGAGGTTAATTATCGACGGCTTAGTGATAATTGGTCTCGGGTAGAATATTTTCCTAAATTAAATGCAACCGCTTGTGCTTGTGTTATTTAGTTTGTTGGTTTCCTAGTTCCTATTGCTGCTATTAAATTAAATCTATAGCGCTTGTCTTAGATTATTTAGTAGTTAGGGGTAATTAAACCGCTTGTGCTTTATTTACCTACAACTAAGGGAAAACATAAATGAAATAATTTCACGACAAATATTCAATTGCATATTAATTACTTTATTAATCAATGATCAGTGTTGAATTCTGGTGGTGGATCTTTACTAACCAAGGTCTCCTATTATAAGTGTTTTTGATATATTATTTTCATTGCTTTATTCGTTCAATTAAATTTCTTGTTTATTTAAATTCTCTTTTATTTTATCTTTATTCTCGATATATTCCAAATCCCCCCTACCTTTAATTTGAGCACAAAAGTTAAACTAGTTACTCCTCGTGGGATCGATCCTTACTCCCGCTCCTACGTTTGTAAGGTTTTAATTTGGAAGCCTACGACAGCTCACCAATGAGCTTTTCTAGCTTATTTTGTGTTTATTTAATTATTTATTTGTTCATCTGTTTTTCTCGTTAATTTGTCCCATAAAAATTTAAAAAAAAATCTTTTCTTTCGTTACTTTTACATAATTGCTGCAATATATTTTCTTTTTATTTATGCCTATAACTCGATCTGCTAATCAAAAAATCTTGCCGTACGATCCAGAAATTGAAAGAACTGTACGTAGGTGGAAAAAACAAGCTTTGAGGAAATTGGAGTTTAGTGATCTGGCTACCGACCCTCAACCTTCCAACAATTCTGATTCAGAAGGGGAACCCATGGCTCAAAATCGGACTTTAAAAGAGCTTGGAGCTCCAAATTTGGATCAGCAACCTTTATGCATCACTTTTCCCGCTCTAGATGCTAATGTACAATTCGAACTGAAATCTGGATTAATTCATCTTTTGCCTTCTTTTCATGGACTTGCAGGTGAAAATCCTCACAAGCACTTAAAGGAATTCCATGTGGTGTGTTCAAGTATGAAACCCACTGGGGTTACTGAAGAACAAATCAAGTTAAGAGCCTTTCCCTTCTCTTTGAAAGATTCAGCGAATGATTGGCTATACTATCTACCTTCTGGGAGCATCACCACATGGAACAACTTGAAGACAATGTTCCTTGAAAAATATTTCCCAGCTTCAAGGGCGGCCAACATTAGAAAGGAAATATGTGGTATACGGCAAAACAATGGAGAGTCATTGTATGAATATTGGGAGCGTTTCAAAAAGTTATGTGCAAGCTGCCCACACCATCAAATCAGTGATCAATTACTCATTCAATACTTTTATGAAGGACTTTTTCCGACTGATAGGAGCATGATTGATGCCGCGAGCGGTGGTGCTTTAGTTGACAAGACACCGGACGCTGCGAGAACTCTAATTGCAAACATGGCTGCAAATTCTCAACAATTTGGCAATAGGCTTGTCCAACCGTCTAAGCAAGTGAATGAGGTAAATATTTATGCTCTTGAACAACAAATTACTGGTTTAACTACTCTTGTTCGTCAATTAGCTGTCGGCAATGTGCAATCTGTAAAAGCATGTGGAATTTGCTCGGTAGTTGGGCACCAAACTGATGCCTGCCCAACTCTTCAAGAAGAACCTATTGAACAAGTTAACATGGCTAGAGGTTTTCCTGGACAACCTCAAGGTAAGTATGATCCGTTTTCTAATAAATATAATCCTGGATGGAGGGATCACCCAAACCTTAGTTATGGGAACTCACAAGGAAACCAGTTTGTTCAGAATCGTCCCAATTTTCAGCAGTATAGACAACCATTTCCTTCCAAACAACAACCAGTCCAAAGCTCTAGCTCAGGTATGAATTTAGAAGAAATTGTTAAAACCCTTGCTACTAACACTTTACAGTTTCAGCAGGAAACACAACAATTTCAATAAGAAACAAGAGCTAGTATTCAAGAAACGAAGGCTAGTATTCAGAACTTGGAAAGGCAGATGGGTCAACTAGCGACTACGGTAAGTCGGTTGGAATCACAGAGTTCTGGCAAACTACCCTCGCAAACAGTGGTTAATCCAAGAGAAAATGCAAGTGCAATTGTGTTGAGAAGTGGTAAGAAAATTGAAGGGCCTACGGTTGCTACCCCATCAGTGAACCAAGAAAAAGAGGGAACTAACAACAATGAAAAATCTCAAGGTAAGTCTCCCAATCCTACTGATTATGAACCAGTTCCCCCATCCCCCCAAGCTTTGTCAGAATCTATAAAAGGAACGAAAGATGAAGAGTTATATGAAACTTTCAAAAATTGTGAAGTGAATATTTCGCTACTTGATGCAATAAAACAAGTTCCTAGATATGCTAAGTTCTTAAAGGAGTT